TCGAGGGCAGGAGGACTGTCTCAAGTCACCGTGATAAAACAAAGCTCCACGTTTCAAAATCTTAGTTGGCCTCCAAATAAGGAAATCGTAGCCCACTTGGCTGGTCTCGAGCCCACACGGCTGAATTGAATGGTGGTGGAAACACGTATGAGGAAAGACGGGATGAAAACAAAACACACGATCACCAAAGAGGGTTGAGAGGGAACCTTCGACGTTTGCACGCCGCAATGTTGACGTCGATGGTAGAGCAAAAGAGGACGAGCACCCGCGGTGTTAGGCACGCAGGGTGTGCGCAGTCGACGTGCAGGGCGGAAGGTTGGTGTGCAGGGCGAGTCGCCGTGGCCCATCCGCCAGGTGCAGGACACACGAGCGCTTGGGCAGGATGCACGGGACGCATGAGTGCCTACGGGAGGCTCGTACACGACGCGTTGCCAGCGCTCTGAGGGATGCTGATCGGCACATTGTCTGGCACACGAGCACTGATAGAGAGACCCGTCGGCAACGACAAAGAGGGTTGACCACAGGGTAAGGGGGGGGCTGCGAGACGACGGTGGCTACAAGCAACGGCGGTCACACGGATCTCTTAGGGCACAATCTCTCGTATAAGAAAATTCTTATGAAGATCAAAACCTCTGTTCAATAGAAACCTTAGGCCTATTTATGGGCCTTGGGAGGAGAAAGAGGATTATAAACTAAAGTAAATAAAAGGAAATTAAATATGGGTAAATCCTAATAGTAATAGAAGTTCGGATCCGGAGCTCGGTTCTGCCGGCGGCGACGTGGAGTGGCCTTGATAGTTTGCAGGGTCTCCGGAGGAGGTGACGTGGAGTCCAATGACGTCGTGGTCGCCGATGGTGGGGCTAGGGTCCATGCCCCACCAAGATCTCATGGTCCTGCTCCTATTCCTCATGACTCCTCTCAAACTCGGGAGTTACTAGACCCTTGGGCCCACTTTAAAAGGTATGTGCCTCGTAATTGAAATACATGTTCATATAGGGAAGATCATAACAGCTTCTTGCCACCCATTCTCTCTCCTAATAACCTTCTGACCACGTGAATGTGACAACTTTCTTCCCATTGTTCTTGTTAAATCAAATAGTTGAATTTTATTGATCGAAGGTCTCTGAATATTCACTGGAGATTACGTATGACAAATGATGATCGTTGAAACAATCATAAACATATCATTACCATCAAATGCAGTGGTGATTTATCCAGAGATTGGCGGCTAGTTATAGGGGGGACGGAAAGGATAGGTCACTGTTGCAATGAACGCGGCCGCTCACTGATGACTCTTCTCTCTCTTGATAGTCTGACTTCACCCTTCAGACCAGTTTTTCGTCGGTGGATTTGATCCAACCTGACGCCAAAATCACAGTTGACGGTTTGAAAAGTCAGCTTTACGCAAACGGGTGACCGTAGTTTGCTCTTCTAGATACGACGATCAGATTGTCCCGGAAAGAACTCAGTCAGTCAAGCCAAATATTCGTTAATTTTTGGCGAATGTTCTACGAAAGAGACTTGAATCAGAGAGTTCAAATATTGCAATACATCTATTAATGATTCTAGAAAGTAGGATGATTAGCGTGTTTAAATCAAGTCCACTTAATCTCTCGATTTCTTTTAAGAGAGCGTAGGGGCTTTCCCAGGATGGTACTCCGCCTAACCCATTTATTGGAGTAAACTTTACGTCAAGAGGGAGGGTGCGCGTAAAACACTCGCATGGTTCTGCACGGTATGGCTGACGAGCAGCGACAGTCCTCACAACCTGAAGATCTACCTTCTCTTCCGTAAAACTCGGAAAGAAATAGCTGCGAGAACCAGTTTATGCAGCATTTACTCTACTACTTGGAAAATAGATCATCTAAGCCGAGTCGTAGCCATTATGTTTCGTTCCCTTCCTGCATTTCCGCTTGGCATCTTTTCTCAGTGCAGGCGATACACAGACAAGTACCCGTAACAATGTCTATTTGTGACCGGCGGACAAAATGAGTAGGTGAAACGGAGTCCAATGAATGAAAAGAGAGAGACTGTCGAAGATAAATAGTTGGCATATTTTCGACGGTAGAAGAGAGAGAGTGAGAGAGAGCAGATCGTAGACGAAGTCAACATCTGTTTCCAATGGTTCTCATATTTCTAGTCGTTTTCAGCAGAGAAACATTGTCAGCTTTCTTGGAATGTCCTCCCTGCCGCCATGTAGAGCAATCTTCCTACCGCCAGGTTTTCCCAATCTACCTCATGTTCTAGACTGTCGGACTCCCTATTGCCGTTTATAAAAGTGATCAAGCAAGAAGGATGCCATATGATACTAAAAGACGGAAAGAGACCATCAGGATTATCAAGTCAACAGTTCTCTCGGTCAACACGTTCATAGATGAAAACTGACCAGGTGATCTGCGTGAGGGGGGGAGAGGGGTGCCGTGAGAGGGAAAGCTATATCATATAGAAACGTGGAGACAGATGGTCGTGTAACCCATAGACGATTGGCTACCAACATAACGGTATCGTCTGATTTATATTACCCAAAGGCTTAATTTTGGTAGTTCTAACATGAGACTGATTCCTGAAAAGTACACCGAATATGAATTAACTAAATGAAATTAACAAAATTTATACTTCAATAAATTCGGGAAAACCGGCAATTCCCGAGTAGACGAACCTCCCAAGGAAGTGATGACTCCATGGGCAGGCAGGTACGTAAACGGAAAGAAGAATCCCACCGGCGTAGCTTTCGTTGGAAGCCAAACTCCACACACCTCATGCTAGCGAACGTTCCAAATTAATCCGCGACCGCTTTTCCGCTAAGTGCACCTATTTAGCATCAGTAGACTGTAAACAATACTTTGGAAACATTATTTTCAATGGTTGAATTATAATTAAAACAAATAATAATATGACTTCTATGGATAACTCATCTGGGGTAATCGATCTTCAACAACCAGCCACCATTAGATGCTGCACTTCGTGTACAAGCCAGGAAGACAACATACCTCTCTCTCTCTCTCTCTCTCTCTCTCTCTCTCTCTCTCGCTCGCTGTGGGATGCAATGGAAAATTCTCGGGCATTTAATGGTACTCAGGGCACGAAAGCTGGATGACCGGCAAAACCTTTACAAGACAATGAGTAGCATCTGTAACGTGGCTAAAAGACTACGTTTTTCTCCGTCAACTTGTCTTCATACCATGTCCCAAGATCTGTCCTTTTCACGTGCAACTTACCCTTGTAAACCAGCACTTGTTGAGAATAACCAAACAACAGGCTGGTTTCTGTTCAATCAGATTTATGAATCTCTCTCATCGGGGTGCGCAAACCCACGCGCCAAAATTCCATCCCATGTTTTCACTAGAATAAGAATAATGGAAACAAGTCATTAGTAGTGAAGTATACAGATATAAATTTGATGAACTACGAATGTGAAATCCATCAAGGATCGTCATGCACTAAGCTAAGCCCCAAAAGAGTTCTAAAGAGATATTCGGTAAACTAACGCATTTGGTTTGGAAACTAATAACTCTCACAGGTGAATTTTCATTAAATATATAGCATAGTTTCCTTAATCAGAGGCAACTAGGGTTTACTCTCAAGAGGAAAACAGGTTTGTCATCTCAATTATATAATCATCCCCCGATTAGTTATTGGCATACGTGCCGACAAATAGTGCTGAGATATTTCTCCGCATTGAACCATTGCCGAGTTGCAGAGTGAACCTGATCCGCAAAAATAGTGCGGAGATATTTCTCGCGCGCGGCAGATATCTGTCCTCGTTGTTAGATCATCAGCAGTGCATGGTCAAATAATGATGATCAAAAGGACCTGCAGTACTGGTGGTTGGCGCAACGACAGATGCAACAGACCCAACCATTTCAGATATAGATCGCTCAGAATCCCCACTCTAGATTCATAGGCTTCTACTTAAGAGGTAGAGAGCGCGATAGAGAGAGAAAGAGAGAGAGGGGGGGTTGGAGGAAGAACTGGTTTTGATGTTGGTGTCATTGCGAAAGCATTCCACGAGCTCCAGGGCATTCAAGGATTATGAAAGTTGTGATTAGGATTTGAGCCTGCATGGTGTATTTAATACCCAGTGCATATACCGCAACAAAGTCCAGCTGTCGCGTCGGATGCTGTCGGGCTCCCGATGTGAAGCCATTAAACCCAAGTGCTCTGCACTCCGCGAAACAGCTCGTAGTTTTTTGTATGATGATCTCCCTCTCTCTCTCTCTCTCTCTCTCTCTCTCTCTCACACACACACACACACACACACACATTCTCTCTCTCCGTCCCCCTCTCTCTCGCTCTATCTCTCTCTCTCTTCCCCTTTCTGGTTCTCTCTCCTTCTGTCTCTCGTTCTCCCTCGTTTTCTCATTTTCTACCTCTCTCACACACTCTACCTCCCCCACTCTCCCTCTCTCCCTCTCTCTCTCTCTGTAGAGAATCATGCGGCCCAAGAATCAGAAATCACGCCACGGATGTGACATCAGATCCAGGCAGTCTGCCATGTAATTCGTCTTCATCCCCATTAGTGTCGTGTCAGGTCCACCCTGCCTGGAATTGAAACACCGACAAAAATCGCCCCGATCTACTGAACCATTTAATTGGACCCAGCACAGCATACCGTGTGCACAGTCAAAATAGCGGACTTATATGGGCTTCGCCAATAATTGGGCCATTCACTTGCAGTATCTAAGCTATGGTTATTGGGCTCTTTAAGGCCCAATCGAGCTATCTCGAGCAATGATATCACACATGGGGGTCTCTCATATCCGGGCCCATCTTGAGCAACAAAATGAGGCCCTTTTCTTATGGGCTTCCATTGGCCTATCATCTCTCTATTGGGCCCAAGATGAGGTTTTACAAGGTGAACAGTTTTTCTATCCAATTTCCACCCAATCAAGTTGGGCAGAGACAGTACTACAACAGGGCTCCATAATAAGAAAAAGAACGGACAGTGAAGATCGTCCCAACTGTAGAAACAGAGAGAGAGAGATGATGATCGAGGTGGCCTAAGCCCACCAGGGAGCCTCACCGGTTCTGAAATCCGTCTCCACCCACGGCACGAAGATAACCTTGTCGTCGTCCACGTCTGCGTGAGCCAGAGCCAGCGACTGCGAATCGTCACAGAGATAGAGAGAGAGAGAGAGAGTGAGACGGAGAGAGAGAGGGTGGAATGCTCGCATCAAGGCATAGAAGCGACGGAAAACGAGGAGCGGAAAGAGAGATAAAGCAGGGAACTTAGAGAGGGAAATGGCGCACGGGACCGGCCGCTCTGGGTCGGAGCCAAAATAACGAAGAGAAACAGAGAGGCTAAATGGAGCAGGAACTTGGCGAGAAACAGCGCATCAGATCGAAGAATCCCAGGGCGAGAACAAGAACAAGAACTTAGAGCAAGAAACGGCGCACAGCACCGTTGGCCGGCCAGTCCTGGGCGGAAGAAAGACGGAAACAAAACAGGAATCTAGAGAGAGAAACGGCCGGAAACGATTGAAAGTCAAGGGGATGGAGAGGATGGAGCTGACCAGAGGGGCGGGACCCCTGACGACGCGGCCCTGGTTGTTGTACTGGGAACCGTGGCAAGGGCAGATGAACTTGTTCTCCGCTTTGTTCCACGGCACCACACACCCTAGGTGAGTGCACACCGCATTTATTCCATAAGTGGCAAGCGTCTTGTCGTTCTCCACCACCAGGTAGGTCGGATCACCCTGGAAAACCCCATCTACAGTTAATTTTTCATTCAAAAAGAAAAAATTATTAATAACAATAATAATATGATGATGATGATGATGGTGATTCATGAGAGGATTCTATGAGCAGAGAGGCGATATGATGCAGATGAATAATAATAATAATAATAATAATAATAATAATAATAATAAGGGTTTTGTTGACAGAAAATTCCCCCCCTCCCCACCAAAAATAAGAAAAAACTGTGGCACCCCAACACCCGATCCGGGGCAGGGATTAGAATTCTGATGGGATGCTGCTCTGGGCCTTCCATCAAATTCCAGCACGAAAACTTGGACCTTTCTGACAAAGTGCTGCTGACTTCCCCAATCTAGCTTACTTTTGGGTTAGTCAGCCGTAAAACTGGGTTGAATTTGTATCTCCGAAGAAATCGGAGTTGTCTGATAAATTTGTCAACAAATTTAGAACTGAGAAGGAGGAGGCGGAGGAGAAATTAGGACGTTTGGGTGCCCACCTTCAAGCCCTGAGTGAGGGTTCTGTCGTTGGGGCCGTGGGTCTTCAGCCACTCGGAGGCGAGGACATCGTTACCCAGGGCGTCCTTCGCCACGGTGCCGCCACCGCCGCCGCCAGAGCTGGTTACATTCCAACCACACAGAAACAATCATCATCCTTGATGAGTGAGAAGAGAGAGAGAAAGAGGAACTGAAGATGGAGCAGTATCTGAGATGTGACGAAGAAATGAGGTCGAAATTTGACCAGAGATCAAACCCAAACAAGTGGGCATTTGGTCTTCAATCAGAGATGAGATATATATATATATATATATCTGTGGCACCAAGGGATTATGCCGCACGGATGCAGAATAGGCGCAGAAGGAAGGAGACCCAGTGAAGAGGACGATCGATTTGGGTGAAGAATGGAATTGGAGATTCTAGGCGAGTCACTGCGTAATTATTCTGCAATCAAATGCGAGAGAGAGAGAGAGAGAGACCAGAAGAATTTCTGTGTTCCTCCACAAATTAATCCAATCAACTCGTCCCTTCATCCGGATCCGAGTAGAAACCGAGAGAAAGAGAGAGAGAGGAGGAGGAGACGAGAAGGGAGAAGCTAGCTCACCCGGGAGGGGCGAAGAAGGCGGCGTAGGGAACGAGCATCCCCGTGGCGGGTAGCGAAATGGCGCCGAGCAGCAGGAGGTTCATCAGCTGCCTCTTCCCCATATCGGGGACCCTGTCGGCCGGGATGCTGGTGGCCATGGCCACCACCTTCCCCCTCCTCTCCCGGCCCAGGCCGAGCCCCTTGGGCGCCCTGCAGAGCAACCCCCTCGCCGTAGAGAAGCCCCCATTCCTCGCCGACGACAAGTGCTGCCGGAGGAAGAACACCCCACCGGCCGGCGACAAAACAGTCAGAAGCCGCAGAGCAGAAAGAGAACCAGAGGAAACCTAGAAGCTTGCTTACCTTAGACGGCGCGGCCGCAGTGAAGAGCGCTGTGGCCGCCATGGACGAGATCTCCTCTAGCTACCCTGGGAAGGATTGCGGGGATCGGGGTTTTCTCATACGGCTCCCTGGGAGTATATGTCCTGGGAGGAGGCGTGTGGACGGTGGCTCTGTTAGCGTGGTTTTGGATAACCTGTGGTCGATGACGGGTGGCTGGCCGCAGGCGGCCACATCTTTTGGATTGCCACCAGAAAAAATAAAAATAGGAAGAGAGCCCTTTTTTTTCGAAGAAATCGGGGATAAATTCATCCTAAGCGATAATTACCAGCAGAAAAGAAGGGTCTTATAGTGGACTCTCCTCTTAATCTTAATGAAGCCTTCACTTGACCCAGAGAAGACCTCATCTCTCTCCATCTTGAATTGTACAGGAGATTTAGAGAGAGAGAGAGAGAGTGATTTAGGGGCAATCATACCGCCAAAAAATAAGAGATTGATTGGGTGTTTTTAAAATAAGCCCTGGTTTGAAGTAGTGCAGGTTTTTTTGGGTAAATTTGTCAATCAATGAGATTAATAAAAATAAGACCATTTAATTATTTTCATGAACAAGAAAATTATTCAAGTGATAAACCAAGAAAAATAGGAATATAATTTTTTCAAGCATGAAATTTCAGGATATCCACATAAATTGAGCCCATGTTTATCCTAAATACAGTAAGCTTCCATCTTCATCCCATCGGCCCATAGATTACTTACTCATTCTATGAGCGTCCAGATATTCTGAATTCAATAGAGGCCGAACTAAGAGAGAGGAAATAAGGGCATTTATTTTAATGTAAAGATATGTTGTAGAATATTTTATTATCATAAAATCAAAATTATTGGTGACACTTACACAATTAAAGAGTATTCATCATTTCAAGAATATTATTCATTATTTTCTGGGGTATGTAGAGTCATTCTAGGCTCAGGCCTTCCAAGTATTAAGCCTAGAATTGGTCCTAAGTGTAGAATTAAGAGAGTAAGAGAGAGAGAGAGAGAGAGAGAGAGGATGAGATGTTTTACAAGATTAACGTGTGTACTTTTTATGGATTTCTAGGTGCATGCAGGAACCCAATAAAGACCACGCAACTAGTGGCTGAGATGATAAGTTGTGTACAAATGAGAGCCTTTCATCAAGACCAAAGATTAGGTTAAAAAGTGAGAGCTTCTCATCCCCCCACCTTCCTCGAAGGAGTCAAAGAAAAACTATCATACTTGAGTATTCAATGATAGAGGAGATTGCTCGTGCTCAAGCCCTCAACAACTTCATCTTATTTATGAGATTTCTTTCATTCAAGAGAAAGGTTTTCTTAAGTTAAGGAAGCTCCAAGCTGTTCTAGAAAGAACATTCTTCATTCTTCATTCTTCATATTATTAAAAAATTAGTTGATACTATTACTTTCAATATTGGGTTATGGGAGTCAAATAACCCAGCACAAGCTGCTCATTGAGCTTCTATATTTAGTAGATTTTTACTAAAATTGAGATTCAATATGTCTCACTCCCAGTTGAGTAGAACTTAAAAGATTTTTTCCTTACAAAATAGAGCACGTCTAGCTGACCAAACCATTAGAAGCCTTTCTATTGAAGTAATTGGGCTTGTCCCAATTACATATGTTAGAGTTATTGGGCCTAACCTATTTAGGAGTTATTTAGAGGGCAGCTTATTCCTTAGGTTAAAACATAAATCCCTATGGATTACATTGTTGAACGAGTGACATATTATTCCAGTCTCTTTTTTCTTTCTCTTATTTCTTCTCCCTTCTCTCTTACCTCTTCTCTTAACACTTTGTTTATGCCACATTAATTTACCCCTCCCTTGAACTAATGTATTGATAAAGCTACATCAACAAAGATGGGCAAGTCGTCTATAATGTAGTAAAGTTTTAGGCAATAACTAACACCCATATTGGATTAAATGTAAAATTTTGATGAAAAAGGTTGAATGAATGTGAAGGATGGCCCAAAATTAAAGTCATAAGAAATGGGCTTTGGGCTACATGTAATCTCCCTATGGTAGTGAAATTATTATCCAATGCCGACTTTTGTTGGTCAAAATAGACATCAACTTTGCCCAAGTTAGAAAACTTTTTTTTTTCTTTTGCATTATCATCATTATCGACTTCCTATAGTGCTTGTGTAAAGCCCTCCGATCCTTATCGAAAAGTCCTTTTATATTTATCAAATAAATCGGTGCTATTTTAAAATAATTATTTTCTCATCTTTTAAGTCAACAAAAAATTTATCATTGAATGTTTGCCTGGGCTCCATAGCACTTAATATAAGGTAATATTTGCATGAAACCATCATTTTGTTAGATAATTACTATTTACACATCCATCAAATAAAATTGAAGATACTTAAGAATAATTTTATTTATGCTTTTAAGTCAATGGGAATTTCATTTCATTTATATTCATATTAAATTAATTATACCCTCTGTATAACCATATTATTTTAAAACTTTTGGTAAACCCTTGTGATGAGGATTCCGCTAGGACACTTAGTTGGTTGTGTCACGTTCGATGCGCAACTCCTCCAGAACCAGTAATTCGTATCTCCCATCTCGTCTGGACAGCCTGCTCAGGGCTCCCCCTGCCTCTCTTCCCGATGTCCTCCATGCAGAGAGAAAGAGAGCGAGAAAGAGAAGAGAGAGAGAGAGAGTGGCCCCAGGCCCAGGTGCCCTCCGCCAGCAAAAGAACCACCGGCGCCGCCACGGTGCCCTCGTCATCTTCCCCCTGGAAACCCTAACTCCCCGTCTATATATACCCACTCCATTCTCCCTCTCCTCTCTCTCTCTCTCTCTCTCTCTCTCTCTCTCTCTCTCTCTCACTCTGAGTGTCTACTAAGAGTCTCCGCATCTCTTGGGAGGGCGATGGAGACTGCATTCCTCGTCTGGTCGGCCGCTCCCGCCGCGTCCCAGGACAGGCGGGCCGGCGTCTTCCTACCCCACGCTGGCGGCGCCGCCGCCCTGCTCGTCCCCTCCGGCGAGGCCCTCCCCCAGCAGAGCCCACCGGCCCCTCGCCCCGCCAAGGCCAAGAAGAAGCCGTCTGCCCCCAGGAAGCCCCCTCAGCGCGGGCTCGGCGTCGAGCAGCTCGAGCGCCTGCGCCTGCAGGAGCAGTGGCGCAAGATAACCCACGCGGAGCCGCCGCTGTGCCAGCAGCTACGCCAGCCAGCCCTCTGCGGGCTTTCCCTCGCCACGACGGCGCCACCGGTAGGACACAGCTCGCCGTGGGCCGCCTCCGGCTTGCCCTACCACGTCGCCGCCGCTCGCTACCGGGTGGCCATGGCGGGCGGCGGCTTCCAGGTGGGCGGCCATGGCACGCTCGCGGAGTTCCCTTCAAGCCAAAGCTTGCAGTGCTCGGAGCGCTGCGAGCTCTGCGTCAGGGTAAGCAAGAGCTTCTTCCTCTTCTTCTTATTCTTCCCCGGCGACGGCGTACACATCATCTCTTCCATGCTCTTGTTCTCAGACGAAACGGCTGCTGGGGGAGAAGCTTCGGACGGGGGAAGGAGATGCCGGTCTGGGAGAGGGGAAGCATCCCCTCCATCTCTTTCTCGCCGATCGCATGGATGATCAGGTAGCGAACCAGAAGACCTCCCTCTCTCTCTCTCTCTCTCTCTCTCTCTCTCTCTCTCTCTCTCTCTGATTACTTTCTACAGGGAGGAACGGAGGTGAGGAGGAGGAGATCGCCGGAGACAGAGCTGAAGGAGCGCATGTTCTTCCCCTGCAGCTCGAAGCTGGGTGCGGCGACGAGGGCCATTGATGAATCGTCGTCCTCTCCGTCCCTTGCCATCGGCGGCAACCAGTTGGATCTTTCCCTCAAGCTCTCCTTCTAGATCATCTCTCTCTCTCTCTCTCTCTCTCTCTCTCTCTCTCTCTGTACCTCTCATATTCTGGGTCTTCCTTCCGCTGTGTTGATCGTCTGCCCTAAATGAAAAACAGGCTGCCCCCGCTCATCCTTCACTTCACCGTCACCTGGTTTACTGTTACTGTGGGTTGGGCTCACCGAGCCGTCGTCTGTCCATTACAGACGGAGGGGAGAGGGAGAGACGAGAAGATCCTCGGTGGCATCGCGGCCGTTACTACTACAAGTCACCTTTCTCTTCTTCATTAATATGAACAGTCCAAGCCCTCTCTCTCTCTCTCTCTCTCTCTCTCTCTCTAAACGCATGCAGCGTAACGCAATCAGCATGTCCATCGCTGCTGAGAAATATTCTGCAGGTTCCGATCTTTCTGCCATAACAACTAGATATCGTAAAGAAACGGAACGCACCCATGCATGGATATGCAGTAGAGATAGAGAGAGAAAGAGAGGTGGGGCTTCTTCTTGTGAGAAAAAGGGAGCTGCGGGGTCTCCAATGGCGGAAAGGAGCCCTTGAATGCACAGCTGAAAAGAAAGGGAAGGAGCGGGGGGATCTTCGTCTCCGGCCACCACTCACGCAGGCGGAGTACCGCGTACGGGGTTGTTGCACCAGGAGGAGAGAGGAGAGAGGAGAGAGAAAGAAAGGGGAATTCCCCTTTGCCTTCCTCGGCCTCGCCGAGATCTCCTCCCATTAATGGCCGCCCGTCTGCGCCTCTTCCCTGCGTTTTGTCCATCCCCGTCGGCCCGGCGGGCTCCTCTGCCCAGCGAAGCTTTACAGTAGAGAGAGAAAGTTAGAGAGACGGAGAGAGAGAAAGAGAGACGGGAGTAACGATCTGACTTATATGTGGGAGTGGTGAGGGTACGGAGGGAGGAAGACGACGACGGGGGCGGGGATCGGCCCCTACTTTATCTGTTCTCACAGCTATGGTCTGTTCGGTGGAGGCAGGGAAGAAGGAGAGAAGATGATGACGAAATGATTTAGAAACGGGCTTCGGATACATTTTTCGGGCCTGGTCCATCACCCAACACACGATGTTATGATGGGCCGGAGTGCGCCTGTCCCGGCCGGGCCCGGGCCCTGTCTCGGAAAGGGTCGGCCCGCTGGCACCACTGACCGGCTGCTCCGATTGAGGGTTCGGGTGTCCTGACGCACGTGCCAACGACCTGTTGGGTGGCCACGTAGGCGGCTAATCCACGTGAGATTGCAGAGTATTTTAGGACACCGATTGCTCGAAAACGGCGGGAGGGACATCGACGCCGTTAGATGACGTCATCATTGCTGGGATATGCGGCTAAGGTTTCTGCGCCGTCACGGAGTTACCTACGGTGTGTACAACGGCCTGATAGAAGAAACCAGGAGCCGCTTTAGAATGTTAGGAGCGGCAGCAGTCGGAGTGGTATTTATTCAAACGTCCGATCTTCCTCCCAACGCACACTCATTGAGCGATCTCTCTCTCTCTCTCTCTCTCGCTCTCTCGCTCTCTCGCTCTCTCGATAGCTCGGTCGCTCTTGCTCTGCGGAGTGGCACTTGCAGATTCGCTCGGCTGGACTCTGTGTAGCATTATGTGCTCGCGTCAAATGTCTCGTTGATTATGTGAGCATTAGCATTGTCTTGTTCTTGATCTGTGCTTCATTTGTTCGATGTTCACGGCTTTTTGGTTTGAATTCCTTTGTGGATTCGCGATTTGCCGTCGGGATTTTAATGTCTGCTGTTTGTCCGGCTGCTCTCTTTGTTTCTTTAATTACTCGTTCATTCGGAGAGTTATAGTGAGCAGGATTGATACCATTGTCGGGAGCAAATGTTCCGTCCGTCAGTTTCTTTCTCATTGATTCTTCGAGAATTTCAGATGCTTGTTCACCGGCTCCGTTGTTACTATGGTTGAAGCTCGCAGGATTGCGGCTCAGAGTTGATTTTGGGGTACAAAGACTACTATTTAGAAAAAAAAATGACGAATATTAGGTGGCCCCTCGTGTCGCAAAATAGAGAGGTTCTGGACGTTCCGCTCGAGTAGCTACATGAATAAGCTTTTGCGTAATGTATGGTTGTCAATAAATTTCACACTACATATCAGCAGAAATTTAAGACTACTGTTGTTATTCCCCCAAGGGGAAATGACTATCATTCAATATCCGATTATTTTTCAGCATTTTCTCAGACGTCACTAAACACAAATGTTCCCAAAGCAGTAGGAAAGAGACTCTTCAGTAATGGGAATAAAGAAAACCACCCATTGTGGAAAGGTATGCTGCATCGGCTGATTCTGGGGGCGAATATTTCTGCATTTTTTTGCTAGTCCAAATGGCTGACGGGCAGCATTTAAGAGGGTTAAATCAGCTGATTTGGATGGCCTAAGGCGATCTCAATTCGAGTAGAACCTTGATCGGCCAATTCAGATTTAAGAGGGTTACAAACACATCCATGAGAAGAACTGTCATCATTTTTTTATGTAAAATATTTTGACACCTATTTTCAATTACAAGAGCTAATTAACGCCAATTTTTCGAGTCGCATGGCCAATCTGTTTATTGAGAAATGCTGACTGAGGATCTCATGAAAACTCTGTTGTTTTAACAGTTTTTATTGAATTCTTTGACGGAAATCAAAGTAGCCCACGTAATAATTGAGTTATGGCGTCAGTTGTGATGGCGTGTAAACAAGTACGTGTTAGAGTTTCTAGCGATAAAGCAAACTTGACATCAAGAAAAACTGGCATCAGCTATCGTCAGCTATCAGTGTGAGAGGTTGTGCAATTTTTCAGGTTTCTATATGAGTTTAATTAGGAACAGGAAGGTGCCATTTCATCTTACCAGTGTTACGTTTCCAGTTCAAAGAAAAAAGATAGTCATTGAGTTGTAGGGGCGAAGTCCACGAAAGAGAGTATTGAACTGACCATATATATAATGAGGAAACTATCATTGCAATGGTGGAGGATCGCTTGGGTAATTTTATTTCTAGGAGAGGAGAATGAACTTAAATCTTGGTATATGGCAGAAAAAGATGTGCATTGGTTTCTTCTTGTTTTAACAACGCATACAGTTTTGCAGATGATGACAATTTGTCCACGTACTTGATTATGGTTCGATCAGACATTCTCTGTTATTTTTCTCTAACACTGTTTTCGTCTTATGATTTATCTTGGTGGTGAATTTTTGTATTCTGACAATTAGAAAAAAATTATCTCACTAAATATAATGCGTGTAAGCATTTTCAACTCAACAATGGACTAGACCTTCTTTCTCCATTACTTTAAATTTCACTGGCGGGAAAGCACATCATTGGGTATTTTGTTATCATTTATTACTTATTCTATCCTCAACTTTTCAGATCTTGGTACTCGATGATTTTTTCAAGAATTCGGTTTTTTTGAAGCAGCTTGTGTGAGCCAGACGTGCTAGGAATGACCCCTCCTATCTCTGCTTTGCAACTCAGAGGTCCGCACACTTTGCTGAGACATGATCCCCTCATCAAAATTTTCTACTGTCCACTCTGCGGTTTGTGATGCAACTAGTGCCAGTTCATCGAGAAAAGCAAACAAGAAAACCACCTCGGAGCGAAAACCTGCAGAGAGCATCCTGTACTCCGGATCTTGCCAGACATTTTCTAGTGGCACAGACGAGGTTCCTAAAGTTCCTGATGGAGAACCCGCAGTCTTCAGGTCTGATGGCAAAACGGTTCATATGTTGAACGTTAAGGAGCCTGTTAAAGGAACTGGAGTGAAGAAGAAAAAGAAGAAGAGGAGGTTCGGCAAAAGGTCCTCTAATAGTGCTGAGACGTCTAGTCAATCTTGCCCCGAGGCAACAAATCTCTGCTGGACCACTGAACCACCACCTCTTCAGATTGATGAGGAGGCATCAAATTCCCCCACCTATGATGGCTCGAAAAGCCATTTCAGCACAGCTCCGAGTGGTTTAAGTTTGAAAGATGAAAAACCTTTTCAGACCACTGATGCTCAATGCGACCGCAACAGAAATGGGTTGAAGGAGGCCGCCGGTGAATCTACCAGAGTGGATGAAAGTAGGAGCAGAGTCATCTTCGATTTCACCGGTTTTGTCCCCGAAGAGCCCCTGGAGATTTTAGTCTTCGGTTCTCTCGCAGTGGCAATGCATTCCAATCCCGGAAAAAAGATTTGCCCCTCTAGCGACTTAAACAACTTCAGGGAAGAAAATAAAGCTGTTGGGGAAGTCAGTAAAGTTGGAGCCAAATCAGGTAAAGTTTCTTCTGGCTTATCTGAAGTTTCCGTAGCCACAGCCAACAATGCCACTACTGAAGAAGGGCAGAGGCAAAGCTCAGACGACGTGTTCCATATGCGCGGCGTTCTCCACAACCTCAGACTGAGTGGAAAAGAAAACAGCGGCCTCACCTGGCAGAGGGTTCAAGGTGTCAAAACAGTGGCCACTGGGGCTTCCTCAATGAAGGGATACCCACGTGCCCAAAGGCAAAATGTTGTTGCTTGCAAAGAAGCACAACGTTCTGGAGCCTTCAAAGTTCTTGGGCTACCTCAGAAGACTTCTCACCACAAGTTGGGGCAGCCGCACTGCTTTGAAGAGAACAGAGAGAGAAGATCATCAGGAAGGCTGGATCATTCACCCAAATGGGTGAACGTTCAGCAATCCCGGGAGGAATTATCTCTCAGCAAGTTAAGTTTCTGTCGGCCACAATCTCAGGAAGCTGCTGTCCTCCGCAGGGGAAATCATTCTGAGGGAGGACCTACCCACGAATGGGGAAAGTCAACGGTCGGTTCTGCCTCTACCCGGCCATCACTCACGATCCCAACCCATCTCCCGGTTGGTGAGGTCAAAGGCATGCACCCCCACGTTCAAAACAATAACAAATATAGCACCTTCACTGAGAAGAGTGTACCCGTCGGTCTCGTTGGTACCAGAAAGGAATTCCCAAGAGGGTTTTGCATGTCCGGCGAAGCAGAGCAGAGCTCGGTGAGGATCACTTCACAGGCGGCATTTCAGATCTTGAGCGCTTCTTACAAGTCCCAACTAGCATCAGAGCAGGCAGAGCTGGCAGGTGGGGGGCCGATCGCCGAGTTCGAGAAGCTCATGGCCGCCGTCTCTCCCGTTATCATCCTATCCGTTGATCTCGCTGGTCATCCTGACGCTTCACTGGCTGATGTCTGGAGCTGGTACGAAGAGCCTGGAGCGTACGGCTTGGGCGTGAGGGCAGAGCCTTCCCAAAATAGCAAGAATTGGGGCAGCGGTGGGTTCCCATTTCACGCTTATTTCGTCCCTTCCCTTTCAGCGGTTCAGCTGTTCTCCCACCCGCGAGATAATAACGTTGGAGTGAAGAAGACCCAAGAAGGGAGGCGTTGGCCTGATTCTTCTTATGCGGAAGATACCCTTCCCAGTTGCTGTGAAGTCGAAGCGCCGGATGACTCAGTGCTCCTGTTCGAATACTTCGAGCATGAGAGACCGGACCAGAGGAAGCCGTTCTGCGCCAAGTAAGAGCCTTTCTGTTCATCTCTCTCTCTCTCCTCCTCTCTCCCACCCGGCTGATTTTGAATCGTTACCTAGTCGTTGAAGACGGAAGCTTCATTCTCTCACCCCCCAACCTTCGTACAGAGTCAAGGAGCTCGCAGAAGGTGGCGCCCCCAACTACCAGACGTACGGGGGCCCATCAAAGCTGGAGCACATGAGTTTGCGCGACCTTCACCCTGCATCTTGGTAAGCAATTATCTCGATTTTCTTGGCCTATCTCTAAGTCAACTAGTTTCGACTTCTGGGCTCCAAGAAGTGATGATTGACGTCTTTAGGCCACAATTAGGTGGATCATCCGAGTCTAGATTCCCAAATAAGTTAACAGCTCGGTCACTCACTAAAAATAGCATCTCAACTTCATGTGACAAACTGTATTTCTGAGTCAATTATCTCTGACTTCCGGACTCGAAATGATGATTGGCATCTTTAGGGGACAACTAATCGGATATTCCAGGAGCAGACTATCACTGTAGAATCTGTTTCAGTTAGTTCTGACTCCGCCCAATGGTAGGTCATATGTTCTACCTAGTCAACGTTCATCCTTGGGGCTACATATATATATCATTCATGGTTTCTCAGGTACTCGGTGGCATGGTATCCGATCTATCGGATTCCCCAAGGAGCCTTCCGCGCGTCGTTCTTGACCTACCACTCTCTGGGGCACGCGGCGCAGAGACGGAGAACGCCGCCGGGAGGCTCGCCGGTGGGCGGCGACGGCTGCATCGTCTCCCCCCCGCTGGGCATGGAGAGCTACAACGCGCAGGTACGACGACGACGACGATGATTTCTCAGAGGTTTTTTTTCCCTCATTTATTTACAGAGGGGGAGTTGGGCTGGATCGATGGGATCTTCTCCACAGGGCGAAGGCTGGCTTGAGCCCAGGGAGGGAGCCGCCAGCGGCGCCCTCGAGGGTCGGCTGGGCGCCATGGGAAGGGCGGCGTCGGTCTTCTCCCGAGGGACCGTCCGCAGGGGCCCCGCCCAGGTGAGGAACAACCACCCCGACTACGAATTCTTCCTCTCCCGGAAATAACAAGTAGAATAGAGAGAGATAGAAAGATTAGAGTGAGAGAGGGAGGGACATAGTTTGACTTCCTTTACTGGGTTTTGGGAACATCAGGGAGAGAGACAGAAACACAGAGCGAGAGAGAGAGAGAGAGAGAGAGGCAAACAGATAAACAGCAGGAAATGAGTAAGGGAGAGCTCGATAGAAAGAGAAAAAAAAGGGAGAAAGATAGAGTAAGAGAGAGAGAGAGATGAAAGTTATGCATGATCAGGTCTTGGTGGCGGGCCTAACGAGGCCGAGGCCAGAGCCGCTGCCGAGGTGCTTGAAATCGGTGGCCTCGAGGCGGTCGTCGTGGCCGGAGAAGCCCGTGCCGCCCTTCTGAAGCGGCACGAGATGCCTCGCCTTGCACGCCCTGTTGCAGGCTAGGCACAGCCCGTCCGCCGCCACGAACTCCTCCGCGCACTTCTTGCAGAATACGTCCCCGCAGGTACTCACCGCCACCAGCGCGTGCGTGTTGGTCAGCGTCACCTTGCAGCTCGGGCAGATGTACTCGGTTCCCCCCTCGAGCCCCGTCAGGCGGATGGGGAACAATGACTTGAGCTTCAGCTTCTCTTTCCCCTCCGGGCACACGGTGGCCGTGCACGGCGCCTCCACCTTCGCCGCCGCCTCCGGCGTCGCCGACGGCAGCCAGAAAGCCTTCATGTTCCTCAGGGCCTCCTCCTCGTACGACGTCACCTTTACACTGTTCGCCCCCTGAAACCCTCCTCCTCCGCCGCCGCCGCTCTTCCCCTCCGCCGCCGCGCCGCCGCCGTCGTAGTGCGGCACCGCGCCATGGTTCTGCCGGTCGAAGGCGTCCAGCCTCCGCGCCCTCTGCTCCATCAGCTTCTCCTCCTCCTCCTCCCTCTCCTGCTTCTGCTGCGCCGCGTAGGCCGCCAGCCTCCTGCTCCCATCCACCCATCAATTTACTCTAGAGAGAGAAAGAGGAACACATAGAGAGAGAAAGGGAGGATTTTGGGGAGAAGTTACCGGTGGATGTCCTTTTTCTGGGAGAGAAGGCATTCGAGGATGCACTCCTTGCAGAAGAGGTGGCCCTTGGGGCAGCAGAGGGGGGAGACGAAGGGCTTGAGGCAGAGGCTGCAGACGTCGAAGGGCTTGATGGAGTCCTTGCCCAGCCGCTCCCGCTGGGTCCCGTACCCGAGCTTCCGTTTCTCATCGTACGTGAAGAACGCGAGGTCGTTGTTGTTCTTCGAGTGGCGCTGCGGCATCTTTCCTCCTCCGATACGTAACCCTAACCCTAAACCTAACCCTAGCCCTGATCTCGGTGTTTTTTCCGGCCCCAATTCAGTTCCACCGATTTAAGGCGAGAAAGGAAGATGCCCGCGGCAGCGCAGCCGATGCAGAGCCCCCAGACGGCAGCGCGGGGAGAGCCGGGAGGAATCCCGCCGCCGGGTGGAGGGAGAGAGGGATCGCCGGCCGAAGCTTCGACCACTCGTCGACGACGAGGGATCGAGGCAGCTGCTTCCGCGGGGATTTGGGGAGAAAGCCGGGGACTGCGATTGGGAAGGAGGAAGCAAGGCGTTTGGGGGTGAGGTAGATTTGGGGGTCTCATATACTGGTCAAAATTTTACGTTAACACCCCAAAGCAGTCCTACAGTTTCTATATTACGTCAAAGTTTTCTTAATAAACACTTTCCCGCCTAGCCCGTTTCTTATCAACAGATTTTTGAAAAGTTTTTCCTCCGTCATGCCAAAATTCCTCAATATTTACATCAATTCCCGCCCCCTTAAAACTATCCATCTTCCATTGGCATTTCAAAACCCGACAGCCAAATAATTATCTTAGACAAATATTCCTCGTTAAATTTCTTATATAGATTTCTTAAAGTAACTTCTACTGCCTTTGTTGGGCCCAATATCTAATTGGGCCTTATTAGGATATTCTTCTTTTTGCAGCCCCCAAAGTGGTTGGGCCTCTAGTTTCGGGTTCTTCTTTACTTTCTAGGGTTTGGGCTTGATCATTTCTGCTAGTTGAAAAGAGCTTGTCCTTGAGTCTTCATTTGAGGCACCATAGTCTACACAATTGCTCACTTGATTTTTTTATGTCAAAACTTGTTGCAAAGTTAGAGGTAAGGATCAAACAATAATTTATTCCACTTATTTTTAACTATTTAAACATCATGATATCTATAAGTAAATCATGGACTAGATTCTATTGTCTTAGGGTAGTAAGTCAAGAAGCATTACGCAAGCATTTAACTACCTACCTTGACCTGTTCTAAGCTTCAAAACCTTCCATCTTCAATCAGCATTCTAATGTGAAGAGGACAACATAATCAAGCCACAAGCTTCATCATCTTCATCAAAATTTGAGATGTTATCAAAGATTTCATCTTCTAGAAATTGACCCACAATGAAATCTTTCATATTTCTAGTAGGATATATGTGAGATTAAATCTTCACTTAATCACCAATGGGAGATGTCCTATAACTTAGTTGTTAGTCTCCTAGAGTCGTGAATCAAGAAGAGAATTATAGACAAAATTTTAGGTGAGCTAAACCCAATAATCAACTGTTGTGATCAAACACTCAATCTTAGTGGAACCCAAGAACAAAGATTGTTCTTGGGGAGTAGACATAGATAAAAGGTCGAACCACTAAAACACTTTCCTAGTCTCATAGCTACACATTTGAAGAATTAGAGAACCAAATATTAGGAGATCAATATGTTTGATCATGAGTTGATCAAATTAGAAATTCACTTAATTCAACCCCTCCTTTTTTATCTTAGTGAGGCCTTTAATGACATTTGTTGAATTTATTAAATACTTGAATTATATGAATAAAAAAATAAAAATTAATATTATATAATTATTTATCAATACATTTTCGTTCTTAATTATCGAAACTAAGGTCATCAACATAAACCTTAGTGTCTAACACAACATTGTAGTGGATGAAAGCAAGATTCATGCTTGAATTCACAAAGCAAAAACGTTGAGAAAGAAACTAGGTGTTAAATCAACAAAACTAGAGCCTTCAATCCTATAATCCTGAACAACTTGTAATCCACAAGATCCACAAGTTCAAAATGGGACTCCTGTGAATCCAAAAATGAGTACTTAAATCCACATGTAATAGGAATGAAACCTCACAAGAGAGAAAAACTCATAATACTTTAATTTTCCCTCTAAGGCTACGATGATCACCTTTGTATAGGCTACAAAAGGAGGTAGGATGCTCTCAAAAATGGGATCTTGAACATATCCTACAACAAATTCGAATTGACTCTACAATGACATGAAATAGAGTGTGATAGATTCTAAAACTACTTAAATAGACTCTAAACAACATTTAAAACACCTTCTAGTTTCAAAGTCCTCTTCAATGACTATGTTATGTGCTACAAGAATCTCCTTTCTCATGAAAAAATTCCCTGCTTGGTTTTTTTTTTCTAGAGTTCAATCGCATAATTACCTAAAACCTAACTTTGAATCAGCTACAAGCAGAAAAAACACTTAATGAAATCATACATTTAAAAAGAAAATGAAAGACACCTCGTTTTTCAAGAAAAAGTCATAGCTTGATCTTTTTCCTAAGAATTGAATATCATATTTATCAAAAATATAACTATAATTGAGATAAATGCGAAAATGTATTGAACTAAATCATGATTCAACTAGAAAGAGAAATCTACATAATCTTGGTCTTTTTTAAGAATAAAATATGATAATTATCTAAAAAATTAATCAACTCTATGTGAAATCATATTGAATGATATATTTAAGTAGAGTAAGAGATCATGGCCTCATTTTTCTTGAAAGAAAAGCCCAACTTGGTCATTATTTAGAGATGAATATTTTAAAATATGTGAAAAAGTAACTTCAAATTAGCTATATGAAAAAATATGTTAAATTAAATTATGCATTTAAACAAAGAAATATAGTTTAACCTTATTGTCCTAGGAAAATTAGCTTCTTCTATTTTAACCAAAAATTAAAAAAACTCTCAACCATAAGTCCTTAAACCTTTAATCCTTTTAAATCCTAAACCCTAAACTCTCACCACCTAAACCCTAATTTGTAACTCCTACAATATAAACTCTAAAACATAAGCCTTAATCCTAAATCTTAAAGCCATGTTCTAATTGTGCTGATAGATGCCATTATAAGTTAAATTATCTACGCCTAGACCAGTCCCTTTTTCCTAGACAAGGGCAAATACAAGCAGCTTATAGATATCCCAAACCCACACATGAACTATGCTCAAGTACCTCCAACTTTGGGTGAAGAAATAACACTAACTTCTCTTGAAAAAATCCATAGAATTAGAGGCAAGCACCACAACTTCACTATTGATGTGTACTTGTCTTTAAATACTCATCATTTAATAATATTTATAACTAAAACTGAATAAAATATTAGTATAGAAGTAAGTCTCAAGTCGAAATCAAGCAAATTAGTTTGTCTATCATGAAAACTAATTTAGTTTATATATATATATATATAATGATTTAAATATTTATTAATTTTTAACAAAAATAATACAATAGATGGGTGAGGTGAGAAGAATAAAGAAAAGGAAGTAGAGAAAGGAAGGAGGAAAAGAGAGAGAGATGAGAGCTCTCACGAAGGACAAGAGAAGAGATCTCTCGTGAAAGAGAGAGGAGGAGAGAGGAAGAGAGAAATCTCATGTGAGACAAAGAGAGAGAAAGGTCTCACGAGAGAGAAAGGGAGAGAGAAGGAGAGAGAGGGGGATTGATCGATGGAGAGAAAGAGAGGAGGATCGATCAATCAATCAAGAGAGTGATCTCAAGAGAGGTAGAGAGAGAAGTGGTCTCATAAGAGAAGGAAAGAGAGAAATAAAATGATAATAAAGAAAGAGAGAAATATGATCAACTCATTTTCACAATGACCATTATTCTTAGACAAATGTGTGCTTAAGAATTCACACACACAACATAAGGTCAGCTGTAAATGTCTCCGCACTATTTTAACACTTTAACAATCATTAAGTAGCCTTTAATCTTATTGATTTTATGTTCAAAAATAGAAAAATATCTATTACTCGCAGAACACCAAAACATGAATACATCAAGATTCAACTGCAAAAATAAATAAAAAATAAGTTGAAAATGATCTCAGCTAAATCTCAGACAAGTTTCAAAAGATTCACAAGAAGAATGAAGATCATTCATCAAGTTTTAAATTAGTTCTACTCATTTCAATTGACACATACATAAAATAGAAATCACTTATCGTAAAATATAAAGAATGACAAAAGTAGGTTAGTAAATGCTAAAGGTAGGTGACGTGACTCAGTTTTTATATATTAAATCACGCAAATATAAAATTTATAAAATTATAAAATACGAATTTTCGGATATTTAGAAGTATTTCTGAATAAATATATCAATTATAATTCAATAAAACTTCCAAAAATAGCGGTAATTTTTCAGGTCGATCACAGGGATGTAATATAATATATGGTAATTATTCAGAATTTTTCTCAATGAATACAATTTTCTATAAATTTTATACTAGGAAATGAAAAAGAAATATATTTAAAATTCACGAAAAAGGAAAATAAGGGTGCGGACGTTGATAAGTCTTCATTATCATGAGTTAATAATTAGAAAATATTTAGCCTTAACTCGTGATAAATAGACTTATCTTTGTGTTAAAGTGTGAAAAGTGGTTTTCAATTGATTAATGTGATTTTTTGGGTAATTATGTGATTTTATACGAATTTATATGATTTTTACAATCTTACTTTTGAGATAAATGAAGAAAAAGAAATAAAACTAAAATATTGCAAAATGGGGGGACCCACCAGCCAGCCGGGCCCACAAGCGGGTCGGAAGCTCAGGGAGTAGCCGCGAGCAGGGGCTCGAGCGGCTTGGACCGATAGGGGCATGTATGCACCACTCCCCTTCCACGTCACCGGTGGCCAGCCGGCTGTGGGACAAAGAGTGGTCGTACACGCGAGATAAGAGACTTTGCTTAGAAAGCTATATTCGCCCGAAAAATCGGCGCACAACCGATGTGGGACTAAACCCACGTCACACCTTCCTCAGAAGAGGCGGGCGACCGGCGCGAGTTCGAGTCCTTCCAGAGTCAAAAGTCATATATTTTTATCTGATTATCGTGACTTTCCTGTAGATCGCCGGTGAAGGATTAAGCAAAGAGAATCGCTGGATCATCGGCGAAAATCTCGTCAACACGATTCGCGGAGCATTGCTACTAAAATTGCTGAAGGATTCGCGATA